TTACAAAATTAATGTTTTTTTTTTAGTAAAGATGGATTTCACTTTTGTCCTTCAATCGTAATAAACATTTTAACTGTTTAGAAATATTGATTGATAGTGAGAAGCTCATACTTTAACTTCACGTTCTGCTATAAAACGATGTCCTCTCACAAAGTAATTCAACGTGTAGGGACAATGTTGAGCCCCTTTGGTCTTGAAATAGTTGATACCAAATACACTGTTAGGTCTGCGTCTTATACTGTCTTTCATCTATAAATTGAAAGTGGGTCGGTTGATTACAAAAGTTAACGACAAAAGAGATAATCTCAATATTACTTTTGTCAACTTCATTTTTACGTGGCAATTTTACAGCAACACCAGTTTTAGGAGTACACAACTCCCATTTGAAACAATATTCTACAGATGGGTTTCTAATGATTTCCTTGATAAAAGGTTGTTAGCTACAATGGAACTATTAGTCGGAAGTTTCAATCTGTTCGGAAATTTAGCTGACGCAATCATAATTCGGTTGACTGTGTCGAAGATGAACAAGCACATTCTCCTTTCCTGGTTAATGACATCCGATTTATTAACGGAATCTTGCTTGCCATTATCAACATGATATAACAACTGACAAGTTGATATTAAATATAAATATCATTGCAATATTCTGAAAACGTTTGAACTGAAATCGCCAAAGCTAAGTCTTTTTACTATTATAATGAAAAGACATTAGTAGAACCGTTGAATTTCATTTTTTTATAAGACTTTTACACGTTTTCTAAATGAAGTTCTTTATATGTAATAAGAATTTTTTATTTTAATACATTTTTTTATATATTTGAAAAAAATGCGTAACAACTATCTTTTATGCTAGCTATTCCCAAACGTGCAAACGACATTTAGATGTGCCCAAGTCTGACCACCTATCAATCGTGCACTTAGATTTTAAGATATTAGAATAGTCAGTCGAATCTGTTAATTAACCGATATATCTTATTATTTTGACTGATTCTTGATTCGCATGGTAGATGATGCATGCATTGTAGAAGACGCTTACCATGTCGACTCGTTCGGTCTTACTCTATTTAGAGTTTAAACGATTCCCTCCGATTGTTTTTATCTTGATATGTATATCCAAAATGGTATAACAAGATTTGAACATCATAATCAACTGTTGTCCCATATTTATAAATATGAAAATATGATCTTTAACCTGCAGAATAGCTTTTTGTATTTCAATAGTTTTTGAGATCTCAGCCAGTAACAGTTTTATATTTCATATTATAATATTCTAAAACAAAATCTTCATCTAATTGATGAAAGCGTGTCTTTATTTGTTTTATCATATGTCTTTATCTTTTAAAATATGTGTGATGAGAAAGGGGATACCTGTAGTTCACATAACATTTCTGCTTTTACAACGACAGGAATCAATGTATTTCTTCTTCATCTTACATGTAACATCACTGTTAACATTTGGTTTTGTTTTTATTTTCGATATGGTGTCATTTGTTACACTTGACCTTAACGGACCCTATTCATCTTTATTCATTTTCATAAAGAGGTTCACCACTAAGATGTCTTTGCTCATAATTTGTATGTGTCTCTTTTGTTTGCATTTATATGTGCTCATTAAAAAAGAAAGAAAAAATAGACCAGTGGCGGATCCAGAGGGGGGCGTAGAGGGCTTTTTTTTTCTTTTTTTTTTGGTAAAATGATTAATCAGACTAGACTTCGTGAACTTTGCAATTTCCCGCGTATTTAATTTTCATGCGACAATTCTTTACTTATAAAGATATGTTTCGCTCGTATTTACTGTAATATATTATTGATTATGTCAAAATCATGTGATTCGCTACGGTGGAGTTGACCAGTGCGTCGAAAAAACGTCACTCAGTCATTTTGAAATTCAATGACAGTAACACATTGCTTAGGCTGAGGATGACAATCGTGACATCTTAAAAGCGACAAAGGATTGAGCAAGAACGTATTTATTGACTTCTATTTCACAACTCCACCAAACAGAAAGTAATACTCTATTACACTCTCATGAAAAAGTTCCACAGCAATATTATTTACCTACGAAAACATGTTTAACCCCACACGCCCTAGCCTATTAATAACATAGCTGAATAATGATCCCCAGTCAATAAGCTCTAGCTAGATTTAAAGTCTAAGGTACGGACCATTTGATTTGAGGGGGCGGTCTGAGATATTTGCGAGAAAAAATTCTGACCCTGATTTTTGCCTTAAACAAAAATTCTGGCCGTATCTGGATTGAAAACAATAATCTTGTCCACTTTTTTGCTATTAGAAACAAAAATTTCCAACAGAATTATTAAGCATTAAATGAACATGATATAAAAAAACGAGCGTAATTTATTTGGGGCCGGGGGTTTGCATGTAAATCCCATATCTGACCGGAATGTCTGTTTCGTCGAACTGATAAAATGAATACTTTTTTCAAGGCCCGACTGCAACCTGCCTGCTGGGTGTGGCCTTTATGTCTCCATTTGTCGACCGTCATTCATAAATTCGTTGTCATTTCAGACTCATTCGTAGCCTTTGGTTGATTTGGAACCCCTCACTTCCCTTGTTGGGTGAAACATTTCAACCAAACATTTGGATAAAAATTGCTTGTTTGTCTTTCTTAACTCGTGTCGGTCGTATTGTAAATTTCATTGAATAGCCCGGCGTATATCTTATTTACAACAAGAAATCCGTGAGGTTATGCTAACTAAACATACAACAAACGAGAATTTTCCATGTCAATTTTTTACTGACAAGTCCCACATCAAATATATTAGTACATAGCTTTGGATCCATCCAATCATTTTATAATAGACAATTAATGGGGAGAATACGGCATCAAAAATGTCCAACCCTTACACTTTAACTATAAAATATACATCCCCCACGTCAGGAACCGTTAAAAAAGTGCATTTTACACTTATTTTATGTTTTTTAGCCAAAAAAAGGTCCAAAAAATTTTACGCCTAGCTCCGCTCGGCCATCTTTACATACTTCGCCCCCCTTTCCAAAATCCTGGATCCGCCCCTGTAGACATCTGACAATTTGAATAAACTAGTAACCGAACATTTATAATTTGTAACAACTACATATATCAATACAAATGTCACAATTTATAAAATAATAAGATTCACGCTGTAACCTAAATGATAATCTAAATAATGACACGAAATATGTAGATACTGTAAACCAACTTTTTCGCGGATACTTTATTTCGCGTTTAGTCCATTCAAGTACACTTCGCGGTGATTTAATTTCGCGATGTTCAAATTACTTGATGTAGTTAAATATAGATTTTTTTGCAGGTATTTTTGTTATAAATAATAAAAGTATTGATAAATGTTGGGGGAGAGTTGAAATGTTCATGTCTTTGAAAGGGGTTTCTTGAATTTATTTGCTTGTCTTAAGGCGGGGACTTGAAACAAATGAGAGAAATTCCAATGTTTCCTCCCATCTCCCAATGAAAGAAAATGACCAGTCCCTTATAAAGAGCGCCCGATAATCACATAATGTGACATTATGATTTTGATAATTAAATATGAAGTCTTTCTTAAATACAGTTGAAAAATGCATAAAATTCATAATTAATTTCTATTGTATCAAGAAAATTTTAAATGAAAATGAATTGTATAATATTACTTTTGGAAAACCCAAACGTTTTCTTTGTTATTTGAATTGGCACTGTTTTCCCTAATGCAAGAATATTTTAAAAATTCTACAATTAAATTTTTTTTAAAGTCAAATGGAACAAAAGCTAAAAAATAGTGTGTACATATTAAAGTTGAAAGCTCAAAATATACAACAAATATGACCCCTTCTTTCAATATGTAACGTCATACAAATCAAAAGAATAACCCCTGTTAAAAACTTGTCAACAAGAAACCGTCATGCATATTTTTTCTGTGATTGAAGTTTTGTCTATTTATCTAAACAATCAAAAATGTAACATAATCTTGCTTTTCCTCGACCTATTATTATTAAAGGTAAACAAATATACACTCAGGGGCCTCGGTGGCCGAGTGGTCTAAATAGTTACTACTGTAATCGCTAGCCAGTCAACACTGAGGCTGTGAGTTCGAACCCCGCTCGTGCGGGTGCACTCGACTCCAATCTTAATTTACTACGATTGTCAGTTTTCCCATCGAAGGTCGGTGGTTTTCTCCGAGCACTCCGGCTTCCTCCACCAATAAAAACTGGCCGCCACGAAATAGCCCAAAAGCGGTGCTTAAAAGTGGCGTTAAAACACCAAAAATCAAATCAATCAAATATACACTCATATAGTTATTGACAGTTATCGTTTACTGTCTATAAGTTAGAAAAACCTTTCAATCTATTAAAGGACCTCAGGATCTTTAAAGCTGAATCAAATGAACTAGAACATGACATAATCTATGATTTTCATTTTTATCTAATACAACAGTTACAAGACTAGTACAATATTCGCCTTGAATACGGGATAAAGATTTATCTGATATTTACATTGCAACGGGGAATATTCTTGAAGATTATTTAATGCAATACTTATGTGATTACGTTGTTAATGTTAGACCTTGACTTATAATATGAGTTTTAAATCACTAAGTTTGTGATGGATATAGATGTTCACGATTAATATTCGCAAATGATGACTTTTCAAATGAATACGTGGTTTTAGCAAATAATTATACAGTATAGACTAAAGCAATATCGTTGTTTTTTTTAAACCATACATTAAAATTGAATTCTTGCACTTGTATAATTATACACTTCTTTTCGAAAACAGTCAAATCTTTTTTAATCTTACCAACAATTTCAATGAGTCAAAATGAACAAAAACGGCAATAACTATTTTTTTAATTGGTAGAACTATTATCATTTACTATCATTTAACAAAGGAGGATTAAAATACTTGGAGTTATACATGTTACATCTTTTTATGTTTCAGACATACATTGGAGATGTTCTAATTGTAGTCAATCCTTATGAAACAATCCAAAATTTATATAATAATGAGGTGAGTATTTTTCTCAGTTACAAGCTCTGAAAGAAGTAAACTAAAATCAAATTCAACAAAACAAAACAAAACACAAAATATGGAAAAGAAAAAGGCAAAAATATAAAATTACTTTTTGTAAGTCCATAACCGTTAAAACACATTTGTCAAAAAAAATCTTTCTTGACAGTCGTTTTTATTAATATCTTTTTTGTAATGTTAAATAAAAAGTTTGCCTTTTGGTCTACATGATTATATAAAAGTGAATATTCTAATTTCATTTGTTTCCTATATAAACTTTCGATTTGATATCAATTATATAACTTGATTATTACTGTTATTGATTATGGTTTTGGAATCGCAGGATATGCTTATGCGGTCGACGAATTTGGTATTACTGTGACTGAGATCGTTCGACACCCTGTGTCGGTTTGCTTGTTCTTTGAGGTTTTTTTACTGACTTTATCTTGCTACCTTAATCTTTTATAGCAACATGAATATTATAAACTTTCAACCCGAGATCCTCCACATATTTTCTGGACAGCAGAGCAATCATATAGACGTCTACAGGTCGAACAGAGAAATCAATGCATCGTTGTGACTGGTGACTCGGGAGCAGGAAAAACTGAAAGTACTAAACATATATTACAGCATCTGACCAAAAGATCTCCATGTGAAATCACCAGATTAGTCGAGAAGCTTAATCATGTTAGTTCATTATGGACAAATGCTTTTTTTGATGAAGTGAAAATTATATTACACGAGTATACCGCAATTTAGTTTATTCTCCATGTTTATTAGTACCTTTTGGTTAAATAATGATTTGCAATAATCTTTATTTATTCTTTATTTAAGTATCTTATAGTTATAATTACTACTTTAACCCAGCCTACATGTACATGTATGTTTATTTAGTTTTTCGTTAACATTAATTAAACATTTTAATATATCAAATATGAATATAAGTTTTCATATTCAAGAAATTTTATGAAATGATATATCAAAATTAATAGAAATTACACATTCTATACTAATATAACCTATAATGTTAGAAAACTGAAGTTGCAAAAGAAACTTATTATTACCTTGAATATTATACAATGTATATCTAAATTATATCTTGTGAATGGTGATCTACGACTTTTTCAGTCTGATGTGTATTTATGAAAAAAATATTTCATGCATATAGTTTCAATACAGTTAAACTATAATTTTAAGGTCAATCCTTTGGTAGAACTTTTCGGAAATGCTAGTACCTTACTGAACAACAATTCTAGCCGGTTTGGGAAACTAATAGAACTTTCATATGTTTATTTATTCTTTATTTAAGTATCTTATAGTTATAATTACTACTTTTAACCAGCCTGCATGTATGTTTATTTAGTTTTTCGTTAACATTGATTAAACATTTTAATATATCAAATATGAATATAAGTTTTAAATTCAAGAAATTTTATGAAATGATATTTCAAAATTAATAAAACTTACACATTCTATACTAATATAACCTATAATGTTAGAAAACTGAAATTGCAAAAGAAACTTATTATTACTTTGAATATTATACAATGTATATCTAAATTATATCTTGTGAATGGTGATCTACGACTTTTTCAGGCTGATGTGTATTTATGAAAAAAAATATTTCATGCATAAAGTTTCAATACAGTTAAACTATAATTTTAAGGTCAATCCTTTGGTAGAACTTTTCGGAAATGCTAGTACCTTACTGAACAACAATTCTAGCCGGTTTGGAAAACTAATAGAACTTTCATATAATGAAGACGACAAATTAATTGGAGGTGAGAGTGTAGTTTTATATCTATTTTCTTTAAAAACGTGTACAATCAACTCATTGTGTTACTTATATTATTTACAAGATCGGGTAGTATATCGGTTATTTTGTTTTTCCTCTGTAGTTAAAAGTTAAAAAAAGAAATAAAGTACAGTGGTTTACGGAAATACATTGTTTCATGCAAGTCACTGCAAATTATTACATTACAATCAACTTGATAAGATTCTCTTCTTACATCAACTCATTCAGTGAAGATTTAATTACGGAAACATGCATTTACTTATAATGATATATATGTAAATTAAATCATTTATTGTAGGTAAACTCAGAACATTTGTGTTAGAGAAATCCCGTGTAGTTCACCATAAAGCTCAGGAGAAAAATTTCCACATATTTCATGCCTTGTTCAGTGGAAATTATGAACATGACTTACAAGACAAATATTCATTGGAAAGACCAAATGAATACAGGTACCTGATATAAAAGTTTAAATTCAACCAGGACGATCCTGAAGTATAATGAGTTTTACATAGCAATACTTTTTATTATGATGATAACCCTCAGTGTAAATCTAAATTGTTAATGTTTTGTGTTTTGAAGCTATATGTGCAGTTCAGTTTTGTTTCAGTTGTTCTCATTAAGTTCATGAAGTTGGCACCGTAACTTTGTCATGTTTGAGTAAAACCTTTTTTTGTAATATTTATATATGTGTAGTAAACCAATAAATTCGGATTCCTAAACATTTGCGTTAGTTTTCACATTTTATAATGTTTGGGATACGATGGGATTTTGCATATTTGTTTTATTCATTTATAATTGTTTTCCGTATTTTAATAGAATTATGCGTGAAGATGAAGAGATGCTACATTTACACACTGGTATATTTGGGAGTCAAGAAGAAAAACAGAAATATGGAAATAGTTTCTCTCAAGGCTGTAAAATCTTAAAAGAAATAGAATTTACGGAAACGGTATTATAAACTTTAATATTATACAATAAATCTTTGTCGAGATCAAACAATATACTTGTTAAAGTAAATAATGACATATTTTAGTGCAATACATTATTGTCCCACTGAATAATATCTAAAACATAAGAAATAAATGATATAAACATATTGAATATATAAACATTAAAATATGAACTATATATAACTTTATGGGTGTATTTATCAAGATATAAAAAGGAGGAGGGTTCAATTTCATCAACTGGTTAACCACGCTACATTTTCCTGTGCCTGTTCCAAATGAGGTCTTTTAGTGGTTGTAATGATAATTTAATTATTTATAGTTTGAAGCAGTTGCTGTTGAAGGCAGATCTTTAATAGTAGCTGTTTGATAAATATTCACAAATGTTTTGAGCATAGAAGACTTTCTACTGTTGAAGACTGCCTTTTGACCAGTAAATGTCTTTAGTTATTTATGTGGTTTGGTTGTCGTCTCTTTAAAGGATATCTTACATCTTGTATTCATATTATCATTTTTATAATTCATTCAGGAAATATCTCAGATCCTGAGTATTTTAGCAGCTTGCTTACACTTGGGTAATATTGAGTTTGAGGAAGTTGGGGATCAAACGGATGGTGTGGCAGTTCGGGATAATGACTCCTTATCAAACGGTACGCAGAATAAATATACTATGATATTAAGATGATCAACATCAAAATGAGATATTGAGAAATGTTTATATAATATAACTTAGAGATATATGTCTATTAAATTCCAATCGTCGAAAAGAACATTTAATAAACACGATATACAATAAAATGATATAAGAGCCAAATCTTAGAAATGTAGAAGAATATGTGTTATTTCATAAAGAAGCTAACACTTACTTATATTTTTAGCAATCAAGCTACTAGGAATAGAAGATACACATGACAACTGCGATGATATCAATGAAGTTTTTATAAGTCGACCTGTATGTGTTCAAGGTATGTTGACCTGTTTTTTTTTAATGTAAAAAAAGTTAGAGTCATTGTAAAACGAGGAAAGAATACTAGAATAAATACGAAGGATATTTAACTAAACAAGGGGAATTCACTACATGAAAGAGGCAGAAGATACCAAAGGGACAATAACAAATCATATAGCCTTAATTATCACCTATTCTTATTTCTTTTCTAATTTCAGTCACAATATTGGCATAAATAATTTTGTAATTCCGTAACTGGGTGAAATTTACTTGATTTTCGATGATTTCAAACATTTTCCATAAACATTTAAACTATATTTGAACAAGTTACCGTATGTGTGAAAAATTAAAAAAAAATTAATTAATATCTCTGGTAAATGCATGTTAGCTTCAAAGATGAATTTAAGTGGCAAAGCTTAGCTCGGTGATGTGTATTAATACATTACATTTCTATTTCCTTGCAACATTGCTTTTTATCCTTTGTATAATTATTCCCTGTCACAACTGTTTGTCCGTACTCAAAAACATTGCTAATCCAACTAGCGCTGAGAAAGCATAACAATCCGCAATTTGTTCGTCACTGGCAACAAAAAATTCTAGAATATCATTTTTCCCCTTTTATCGCCAAGCGCTAACTGTAAAGGCTAAATCATAAATGAAAAAAAACCCAGACAATACTATGGCTAAAAACGAAAAACGATGAAAAGACAATAAAACAGTCTACACAACTGTGTATATGTTACAGTGAATTTGTAGAATTAGGGATTATGTATAATCACTGGTAACTTTAGTGGTTATATGTAATTACTAAAATTTTCTGGAATTGTGCATAATCACTAGAAAAAATGTCAGGGATTATACATAATAACTGGAATGAAGAGACAATGAATAAAAGTAAAATAATTCATTCTATAAAATCATATTTAAACATTTTTAGAAACATAAATATTAAAATCGTAAGCACAATGTTTAAAACAAATCATTTATTTTTACAAACTACATTGTGAAATTGGATGATATCTACTATGAGGGTTCCTCATTTTTTTATTCTTTAATTTTTTAGATCATTTTCTCTATACTTTATTTATTTTGCCCATTATTCTCTATTCTGTATATTTTAACACACTATTATCATGATTACTCTCTATTCTTATTTTTATTTTCTATTTTTGTCTATTCTTTATTTTTTAGCCCTTTATTTTGCACTGTTTGTCCATTATTCTCTATTCTGTAAACAATTTGCTCTGCTTATCCTTTTTTTTTTGTTGTAACAAAAAAAAACCCCAAAACAACCCTTAGCCTTCACATATCGAATCTGATTTTACTGCACTTTGAAGAGAAATAAAGTGTTCATTAGAAACATCTGAAAGTGCTAAAAAGGTCAATCAGACACATCAAATTGATTCCTTGTGTATTATCTGAGCATAATTTATAGTTTCGTAGTCAGGTATTATGTTTTTGGGGTCTCCCTTTCCACGATCAACATGCGGAATCGGTATCACAGCCTCCTCCAAAATTGTGTTCAATCTGTCAAGCATGTGTTCTGTTTGTGTTTCTGGACGTTAAGTTGCATTTCTTTGCTTAGTTCGAATTCCTTGTTAACTTTCATCCCCTTTGTTTTACAACAATTTACATGATCTGTGCATTTATGTTGGTATTATTAATTTCAATTTAAAATACTTATTTTGTTATGAGTTAATGTGGTTTAACACATTTAAATAGAATATCAGCGGAAACACTGTTCTTTTTAATAAGATTTGATAAATGGACAGGAAATGAAAACTGTCCACTTAAACCATACAGAGGTTTTACATATGATTTATTTGTCTGTATTTGATTTACAAACAGCGAATCTTTGTATTATTGATAATTCCTGAAAACATTCCAGGGAATTTGTAAAATAATTCTTAAAATTTTCAGGGGTTATGTAAAATCACTGGTCATTTTCAGGGATTATATATAATCTAATGATTTTAGCGATTTTGTAAAATCCCTGAAAAAACAGGGATTCTACATGATCCCTGATTATACAAATTCACTGTAACATATATATAACTAATATTCTTATGATTTTTTTCTCATTGTCTTCAGTTTCATAGGAAAAAGTTATCAGCATTATTTATTGTATTTTATCAATAGGTCAGACTACTCGGAAACCGTTGAACCAGATTCAAGCTGCTGATGTGAGAGATTCTATTGTGAAAGCATTGTATTCTGGAGTTTTTAAAGCTATTATTGGTCAAATAAACAAGAGCATCGAAGGCAGCACGTCATCAACTAGGACAAGGTATTTATTAATCGAAATACTTGTTTATTTCAAATATATAATCTTTAAATATAATAAGACATATCCGATATTAAGTTTTGAAAGATGACATTATTGCAAAGACGTATTTGAATAGAAATATGTCGAGTATGATTGGATAGAACATATATCAATGAAGTAGTACTGCTGTAATGGAATGGGCTTCAAGTACAAATTTTTAGTAATTAAATATTGCAATTATTTGAAATCAGAATTAAAAAATAGCTTAGTTACAATTAAGTCATTAACAATACACATGTTTTTGTCAGTCAACATGTCATTGGAATCCTTGATATCAGCGGATTTGAGACTGTTTCAGAGAACAGTTTGGAACAGTTGTTAATTAACATCACCAATGAAAGAATACATCAATATCACCAACAGCAGATATTTGAAATAGAAAACAGAGAGTATGCCAACGAAGGAATACACCTGCCAGCAAACACTTTCAATGATAACACATCAGTTCTTGAACTTATCTTTGGTGTAAGTTATGTATTCTCATTGTTAAGTATCAGTCCATTTAATCGCTTACAAACTGCTACTTAAATATTTTTCTTCTGTAAATATGATATAAAATTGAGAATGGAAATGGGGAATGTGTCAAAGAGACAACAACCCGACCATAGAACAGACAACAGCAGAAGGTCACCAACAGGTCTTCAATGCAGCGAGAAATTCCCGCACCCGGAGGCGTCCTTCAGCTGGCCCCTAAACAAATATATATACTAGTTCAGTGATAATGAACGCCATACTAAACTCTAAATTGTACACAAGAAACTAAAATTAAAAATAATACAAGACTAACAAAGGCTAGAGGCTCCTGACTTGGGACAGGCGCAAAAATGCGGCGGGGTTAAACATGTTTATGAGATCTCAACCCTCCCCTATACCTCTAGCCAATGTAGAAAAGTAAACGCATAACAATACGCACATTAAAATTCAGTTCAAGAGAAGTCCGAGTCTGATGTCAGAAGATGTAACCAAAGAAAATAAAAAAAATGACAATAATACATAAATAACAACAGACTACTTGCAGTTAACTGACATGCCAGCTCCAGACTTCAATCAAACTGATTGAAAGATTATGTCTTCATCATATGAATATCAGGCACAATCCTTCCCGTTAGGGGTTTAGTATCATACCATCATAACATATATGAGAAGAGCATAACCCGTGTCATGCCAACAACTGGTTTTTAAATAAATGTGTTTAGTGCCGATGCAAAGACCCTATAAGTGAATCAATATTAACGCCAAAATATGCAATCTTTAATGACCTGACAACAGTATCGTAACTATATCCCTTCTTAATAAGTCTATTTAAAGGTTTTGTTAGCTTCAGAGGTGAATACTGACATTTTTGTGCTTTATAAAGAATATTTCCATAAAAAATTGGATGTGAAATACCTGAACGTATAAGAAGTCTGCATGTTGAGCTATATTTACGAATGATGTCCTTATACCGATGATAAAATTTAGTAAATGTTTTGACTAGTTTGTGATATCGAAAACCCTGGTGTAATAATTTTTCAGTAATACATAAATTTCTCTCGTTAAAATCTAAAACATTGTTACATACACGAGCGAATCGTACAAGTTGAGATATATAAACACCGTAAGATGGTGACAAGGGAACGTCACCATCTAAAAATGGATAATTAATGATAGGAAATGAAAAATCATCTCTTTTATCATATATTTTAGTATTAAGCTTTCCATTAATGATATATATATCAACATCGAGGAAAGGGCAGTGG